GGATGCCCAGCCCCAGGAACCCTCTGGGAGTGGCCCCCACCCCGGCCCCGGCCCCTCTCACGCAGCCAGACGAGGGCAGGGAGCCCAGAACTGCTTCTTCCTCCAAACCAGACAGGAGCACAGGCTGTGGGTCCCCTTCCGGGGCAAGAGGTCCTGATCACGGGGTCTCCAGAGCCCTCACGAAGGGCCTGCCATGAGGCCGGGGCTGGGGGTATTTATTCACTTTGGGGTCCTCCTTGGGTGGGAGAGGCCCGACTGGGGGCACCAGGGGCACCGCCTGAGGTGTGGGCACAGGTGACTTGGCCTCACGCCTCTCTCGCCCACAGGAGGCCCTGCTGCTGCACCGGCCCGGGGGCCACACGGCCCACCTGCATGTGCTGGCCGTGCACCGCGCCTTCCGGCAGCAGGGCCGCGGCTCCCTCCTGCTGTGGCGCTACCTGTGCCACCTGGGCGGCCAGCCAGCCGTGCGCCGGGCCGTGCTCATGTGCGAGGACGAGCTGGTGCCCTTCTACGAGCGGTTCGGCTTCCGCCCCATGGGCCCCTGCGCTGTGTCCATGGGCCCGCTGGCCTTCACGGAGCTCCAGTGCTCGCTGCAGGGCCACGCTGCCCTGCGGAGGTACAGCTGCTGAGCGGGCTGCGGGGGGTGGGGTCTCTCCAGCCTCCAGTGCCCTGCCCTGGCCTCCCCCAGCTCCACCAGGATTCCCAGGCAGGGGGGAGGGGTGAAATAGAGAAAGGCCACGCCAGCCGGTGTGGCTCAGCGGTTGGGCCTATGAACCAGGAGGTCACTGTTCAATTCCCAGTCAGGCCACATGCCCAGGTTGTGGGCTCAGATCCCGTGTGGGGCGTGCAGGAGGCAGTAGATCAATGATTCTCTCTCATCACTGATGTTTCTATCTATCTCTCCCTCTCTGAAATCAATCTATAATAATAAAAGTGTAATATGCTAATTAGACCGGACATCTTCCAGACTACATTCCGAACTTCCTTCCTGACAAAGCCGAGGCCCGAGGGAAGCAGCCCGGGTCCCGGGTGCCAGAGGGAAGCCGGTGCCGGCAGCCGGGGGAAGGAAGGCCTACTCTTGCACGAATTTTCGTGCATCGGGCCTCTAGTAAAAAATATATATATATATATATTTTTAAATATATTTTTTAAAAAGAGAACATGGTCAGTTCTCCCAGCTGAACACGAGATGTGTCCTGCAGGCTGTCCCCACGAGACCCTCTGGACCTCCCGTACTCCAAGCTGTGCCCCAGATGGGGGTGGCAAGTGGGGACAAGCAGCCCTGCCTCAGCTCCCTCCCGTCTCAGAACCGATGGGGCCCTGCAGGAGGCAGGCACAGGACCAGGGCTGCCCTTCACAGGCGCCGTGCAGGGCCCTTGTTCTCCCGGGTCCCAGGGAGGTCCCTTCTCACTCTCAGCCCTGGAATGGGGGGCGGGTGCAGGGACTGCCGGTCCAGCTCCAGGACCCTGGGTCCTCTGCCCACAGTAACCTAGTGCATGGCTCCTTGCATGGGGAAGGGTTGGGCAAGGCACAGGTACAGTGAACAGAGCTGTCCAGGGAGGCCTGCCCCTCGGCCCAGCCTCACTGCCCCTACAGCACCACCAGTCTAAGAACTTAACTCCAACCCCTCAAGGGACCCCCCTGAGGCCCTCCATGGGACCCCAACGCGGTTTCTATTCCAACCAAATCCCCCAGAAGTCCCACAAGATTCCCACGGCCCCTTTCTGCCAGCCCCTGCCCCCCAGTTCCTCCCAGCCCACCCCCACCCTCTCCCACCCCCAGATTAAGGTTCCAGCTTTCACTCTTCCCGAGGCCTCCGGTCAAAAGAAGACGTTCCCTGAAGAGCATCATTTAATACACCTAGACATCATCCATACAAAGTTAGCGTTACTTTAAAAATTAGGACCAAACTATAACCGGTAACAGACGCCCTGACTGAGCCCCAGTGGGGGCGGGCCCCCCAGCCTCTGCTCGCTGCAAACACGCCAAGGCTCCCGCTCCCTCGTCTCCAGGCGGCTGCTCTGCCCCAGGCCACGGCCAAAGCCTCTCCCACACCCGGTCACCCGACGGCAGACCCAGCAGCCACTGAGGAAGGGCTGGTAGGGCAGAGAGGGGAGGAGAAACAGGGAGGGGGTCGTGGTGAGGCAGGGTGGGAACCCGGTGGGACACCTGGCCACGTCCCCGGTAAGGGCACGCGCACAGTCTCGGTGGGAGATGGGGGTCCCGACAGCAGGGTAAGTCGGGGCCTGAGCCCTGAGCTGCGGAGAAGCAGGTGCTTCCAGCCGGGCCAGGAACGCCCGAAGGGCACCTCATCCCCCGGGAACCCGCCTGTGTGACCATCTCTGAACGACACCAGGGCCTGGCCGCCCTGTCGGTGGGTCTCTGGAGTGTGGGTGGGGCGCTCTGCAGGCAGGCAGCCTGCCCCTGGCCAGGCCGGCCAGGCGGGCGGTCAGTGCAGCACCTGGTCCAGCTCGTACTTCTCACAGAAGCGGCTGGTGAAGGGGAAGCAGGTGAGGTGCTCGATCCAGGGCCAGTGGATGGGGTAGACGTAGAGCCAGACGACCAGCGAGGCGAAGAGGCCGGCGAAGACCAGCAGCGACACCAGGATGAGGGCGCGCTTGCGGTACTTGTCGCTGGTGCCGAAGGTGATGTAGGGCAGGAAGGCGAAGGCCAGCAGCAGGCCGCTGAGGAAGCCGAAGATGTGGGCGATGTTGTCGATCCAGGGCAGCAGGCCGCACACGAACAGGAAGAGCACCACGGCCCCCAGGTTGAGGAAGGCCTTCCAGGGCCGCTCCAGCAGCTGCCAGCTCTGGATCAGCTCCACGAAGAGGCAGGCCAGGAGGCCGAACTGCGACCCCGCCGGGCCCACCTGGGCAGGGAGGGGGCGGCTCACTCCCAGGTACCAGGTGCGCAGGGAGCCCTGGCACCCAGGCCGCACACGAACAGGAAGAGCACCACGGCCCCCAGGTTGAGGAAGGCCTTCCAGGGCCGCTCCAGCAGCTGCCAGCTCTGGATCAGCTCCACGAAGAGGCAGGCCAGGAGGCCGAACTGCGACCCCGCCGGGCCCACCTGGGCAGGGAGGGGGCGGCTCACTCCCAGGTACCAGGTGCGCAGGGAGCCCTGGCACCCGAGTCAGCCTGTTGGGGAGCCCGACCCAGGGTGGGGCCCCGAAGCTCAGGGCCAGCTGAGGCCACTGGACCTGGTACCTGGGAGTACTAGGCTGGGCTGCTCCCACCACCCTTTCAGCCGAAGGGCACCTTCCACGTGCCTGGTGCTCCGGGGGAGGGGCCCGACACTGGACAGGGCAGCCGCCTTAGGGCGAACGGGTCAAAAACTGCCATTCCTGCCCGGCTGGTGTGGCTCAGTGGTTGAGCGTTGACCCATGAACCGAGAGGCCGCTGGTTCAATTCCCGGTCAGGGCACATGCCAGGGGTTGCGGGCTTGATCCCCAGTGTGGGGCGCGCAGGAGGCAGCCAATCGATGATGTTTTTCTCTCGTCGATGTTTCTATCTCTCTATCCCTCTCCCTTCCTCTCTCTCTAAAAATCAATGAAAACATATTAAAAACAAACAAGAACTGTGGTTCCTATGGGTCAAGAATGGTCACACACTGGCAACTTCCTATGGCTCTACCTACAGGTCTGTGACCTGGCGGCGGGCAGGGGTCATGAAGAACCGAAGCAGAGAGGAGGAACGGAGTGAGGGGCAGCACAGAAAGGTCTTTCTGGAGGTGCCATCTGAGCATGACTCAGGGACAAGCTCCCTCGGGCCCAGGATTAAGGGATTAGCCAATAAGCCTCCAGCTTAGCAGTTCATCCGTTGTTGAGCCCGGCAAGGGAGGGGCCGTGTGCCCTCCCCACCCCCCTGCCCCCACCGAGTTCCTACCTCTGCCCGGTACGGGAGGAAGATGGCGCTGGCGAGATTGCCGGTGATGCCGCTGAGGATGAAGATGATGGAGATGCGGTGCCAGCCGGCCAGCTTCTCCAGGTCCCGCAGGATGGTCATTTGGAAGACCACGGACACGAAGCAGTGCACCAGGCTGGGGCGGGGGGACAGGCATCAGCCTCCCCGTCTGCCACGGCTGCCAGCCAGGCACTCCGGGGAGGTGGGGCGGGAGGGCTGTGCCCTGGCCCAGGAGCCCCTCTGCGGGGTCCAGGTGGGCGGCCACCGCAGGGTTCCGCGGGTGGGCATCTCAGCGCCTTACCCGGCGTGGAGGAACAGAGACAGCCAGAGCCTGTAGAACTGGTCCGGGACCTCGGGGTTGAGAAAGGGCAGCAGTCCGCACACCTTGTCCAAGCAGTGCACCTGGGGGCGAGCAGGGGTCAGTGCCCGCGTCTGGCTGGGTCGGAGGCCCGGGTGTGGGGTGGGCAGAGCCGATACCCGCTGCAGGAGGGCACGCGTGAGGCCAGCTGCAGTAGCTGCCATGCACGGCTTCTCTTTGTGGGGGAGCAGGGGGGGTAAAGAACTAAGAATTTATTAGGTCAGCTGGAAAACCAGATGGGGCTGAGCCCCAAAATGGCATCAGCCTTTTTTTTTCAATAAATATATTTTTATTGATTTCAGAGAAGATGGGAGAAGGAGAGAGAGAAACATCAATGACGAGAGAGAATCATGGATCGGCTGCCTCCTGCACGCCCCACACTGGGAATGAAACCCACAACCCGGGCCTGTGCCCTGACAGGAATCAAACCATGACCTCCTGGTTCACAGGTCGACGCTCAACCCCTGAGCCGCGCCGGCCGGGCAACGCCCAGCGTCTTATGCCCAGCGCCCCACTGGGTCCCGCCAGGCCCCACCTCACCTGCGAGCAGAGCGTCGCCTCCTCGTGGAAATAGCCGTGCATGAACTCACAGTACTCCCGAGTGGTGATCTCACAGCTGGGGGGAGGGGGGGTGTCAGGGCCCGGAGTACCTGCCCACCTTGCCTGGCGCCAGTGCCTGGCCACAGCCAGCACTGCTAGTGGGAAGGCGGTGCCCCTCTGAGACCCGGCTCTGGGGAAGCGCCCCTTCGTCCTGCTCCCACCACAGGGGCCCCAGAGTGGACGAGGAGGACATGAGCGCAGTGCGCAGGCGGGCGGCTCACCTGCCCTTGGTGCCGATGCAGCAGGGGCGGCCGCGGATCTGGCAGTCGATGTGCAGGAAGCCCGTGCGGTTGCTCCTGGCCTGCTCCGTGCAGATCTGCGGGGCACCGACAGGGTGGGTGGTGTGGCGGGAGCCCCTCCCCGCCCTTCCCAGACCACTCTCTGCCCCGGGTACTCACTGGCCACTTGGTAATGTCATCAGGCCAGATGTGGGCACCACTGGAGGCCGGCTCCTCGCAGGTCCTGGAGGGAGAGGCCAGAGGGGGGCAAAATGAGGGGCTGGGGCACCCGCAGCCAACGTCCCTGTGGGGGGCACAGACAATGCGACCCTCAACCCCATCTTCTCAGACAGCCTTGCCGAGGGCCACGTGGGACTCTACCTGGGGTCCTGGTGGCACACGGCGCCCGACGTCCGCTTCTGGCCCAGATCGGACTTGTCCACGGGGGGCCCCGTGTCATCCTGCCACTTCACAAAAGTAGCCAAAGTCTCCTGGAGGAGGGAGGGGGCTGGTCAGGCCAGGACGGCCACACCCACCAGAGGGGTCAGGGGACGCACCAGGATCGGGCTCTTCCTGTTTCTCAGGACCCCACCCCTGGGTGACATTCTCAAGACCCCGCTTTCACTGGCTTGGGTTGGGGAGGGCGGCATCCTTCCAGTGCTGGGCCATGTGCAGGGGTGTGTACAGGGGTGTGCAGGGGTGTGTACAGGGTTGTGCAGGGGTGTGGACAGGGGTGTGGACAGGGTTGCATGAGGTCGGGGAGGGCAGAGGAAGGAAGAGGGGACGTGGTCACTGCCCTTGAAGGGTCCCTCCCCCAGGCCAGGGCAGTGGACGTGGTGTAGGGCCCAGGGTGGACGGCGGCCCCGCCCCCACCGAGCAGTCCTTCCGCTGGGTCTGGATGCAGCCCGAGTGGTCATTCTGGACGCAGCAGCCTGAGTCCCGCTCCAGGTCTCGCTCCCGCAACACCAGCTGCTCGATCTGCTGGTCCTTCCGGATGCAGGGCGAGAACTTGGCTCCCAGGTGGATCAAGTCAATCTGTGTGTGGGGGGGGTAGGGGGGTGGAGTGAGCGCCCAGCTCTGTTGGGTGTCCCCTGATGAGGGGGGTACGGGCAAGCTGACCCCTCCCTGCCCAGCTGGGGAGACAGGGCCCAGGGCTCCTGCTGAGATGCTGGCTGTCCCCTGGGCCCTCACCGAGCTGGGGCCGATCCAGAAGTTCTCCTGCTGCAGGTACTTCACGCTCTCGTACACACCTTTGTTCCTGAGCACCTGGGCAGGGGTGCAAGGAGGCGTCAGAGATTCTGTGCCAGGGCCGGCCCCCAGGAAAGGGCCAAGGGGCAAAGCAGTGGCCAATGCACCCTCCCACCTGGGCCAGTTGTTGCTGTGGGAGGCATTCAGTGGCCTGCGATGCTGAAGCCTCTCGGGGGGCTGGGACCCCAGGATGGAACCCCACTTCCGCAGCCCAACTCACCAGCTGGGTGGTGACGTGCTGGGCGAAGCCCACGGGCGCGATGCCGTACGTGCAGATCACCAGCAGCGTGATGATGATGTGGACGAACGTCAGCCAGTAGGTGAAGTAGGGCCTGGGGCAGAGGCTGGGTCAGCACCCCGACGCTCAGCGCCCCCTGCTCCCCACCCTGCACTTCCACTCTCTTCCACTCATCCTTCACCAGCGGCTTCCAAATGCCACTTCTACGCGCCTCTCCCAGCTCCCAACCCTTGGGTGGCTTCCTGCTCGCTGCCCCTGGATAGAGTCTAACATCGGCCCCTCCCACTGGTGGCACCTGCTTGGTGGGCC